TGGAGAGCATGAAGGGAGGGCTAGGAATGGGGAAAAAATAAGAACCAAGATGCATTATGTAAAGGTACAATTCCCAATGAGAAATGTAATTGTGTTATATACCTAAAATGTACCAATAAAAGAATTTAACAAAAAATAAAGAGTAATGGCAATAGTTCTTTAAATGTCTTGTAGAATTCAGGAGTGAAGCCATCAGGACCTGGGCTTTTCTTTGGTGGTAAATTTTTTTATTATATTTTCAATTTTACTCGTTGTAATTGGGGTGTTTAGAATTCATATATCTTCTTCATTTAGCCTTGGTAATTTGTATGTGTCTAGGAATCTGTCCATTTCTTCTGTGTTTTCCATTTTATTAGAGTACAGGTTCTCGAGGTAAGAATTGATGATGCTTTGGATTTCTCTTGGATCTGTTGTGACTTAACCTTTTTCATTCTTGATTGCATGGATTTGAGCCTTAACATTGATGGTTATAGTTGATAGATATTGATTCTTCCTTGTCATGATGTTTTACTATTGGTGATTCTTTTATTTCTTGGGGTTTTTTTCCTTTCACTTTAGTTTCTTACCTTGCCTGGTGGCTTCCCTCTGTTGGGCCTCATGGAGTTGTGATCTTCATTGTGTTTTTCTAGAATATTGCTTAGGATTGTTTGAAGTGCTGGTTTGGTATTCATGAAATTTCTCAGGTGTTCTTTGTTGTGAAAGTATCTAATTTCCCCCATTGATTTTGAAACATAATTTTGCAGCTTACAACAGTCTAGGTTGGAAGTTATTTTCTTTTAGCACTTGAAATACTTGACTCCAGGCTCTCCTTGACTTGAGGGTTTGTGTTGAGAAATCTGCCATGATTCTGATGGACTTTCCTTTGTAGGTGATTTGTTTCTTTTCTCTAACTGCCTGCAGGATTTTGTTCTTCTGTTGAGTTTCTGGGATCTTAATTATTATGTGTCTAGGCATAGATTTTTTTTGATCATGGCTAATTGGAGTTCTATATGCCTCACTTGTCTGAATGTCCAATTCTCCACTACAGTCTGGGAAGTTTTCTATTACTTCTGGAACAGTTTTTTACGTCAATTGTATTTTCTGCTGTTTTTTCTTGGACTCCTATCAGTCTTATGTTATTCTTCTTTGCATCATCTAGCAGCTGCTGGATTGATTTCTCATGGTCCTTTACTATTTT